GGAAAAAAAAAAAAAAAAAAAAAAGTATCCGCCGTTTTGGAAACGGGCTTTTGATTGTTGACTTGGCAAAGGCAGCGGTGATAATAAATATCGTTTGGTGATGTTCTTAAGACGCTGTTGTGTTGTGTTATGTTATGTTAAGTCTTTCTTCTCGGTGAAGTCAAGGTTGTTGTTCCACGCAGACACAACACATAACAACGCAACTTGACATAACTCCCCCTTTCTTTCTCTCTTCTTAAGCCTCTTCTTCCTCCAAACACTTCAATCATTCCCTGTTAGCTTTTTTTTCTCTAAGGTCCGTTTCTTCTCTTTCTCTCTGGTTTCTGCTTTTGTCTCTTTCACTTCTTCATGCATTCTTCTCTTTTTCTTTTGTTTCTTTCCTCGTTTCCTTGGTTACCCTTTTCTTCCCATGAACATCGAGACTAGAAAAATTTGTTTTTTATTTCTTTTCTGTTGTCTCTTCTTGAAAGAGCGAGATTGCAGAATCCTTCTGGAAGAAATGACTTTATTTATTATAATTCTCTTTAATCTGTTTGGTTTTTCCACTTTGTGTGGCTAATCGTCTTTTAAAGTTATTATTTTTATTATTGGTATCGTTATTACTATTTTTGGGACATATTTAAGGTGGTTCTGTTGTTTGTTCGGTTAGTTACATTTTTGGGCTTTGCAATTTCCGGTGATAAGTGGATAGGATGTAACCGTGACCTTTGGTGTGAATTTTTTTTTCTTCGTTTTATTTGACAGGGAATAATATAACGTGCCGCTGTTGATTTTGATTCGTGGGGGTGGCTTGTGATTCTTCTGAATTTCGATTCATTTGTGGGTGCTCCTGTTTGCACTTTGACTTGTTGCATGTCAACAATAGATTAATAAGAATGTATGTTCGTGATTGCATGTATCTGTTAAATGTTTCTGTGAAGGAAAAGAAAGAATCTTTAAGACGAGAGAGGCTAGTTTTCTTATTATTCCCTTTGTGGTATTGGAAGAGCCTGTGTTTTTTCTTGTTTTTTTCTTTCCTTTTATTTCATCATGTTTCTAAAGTTATTGACAAAATGGCTTGTTACTTCGTCTCTAAAGTTCTATTTTCTTCTCTTGTCTGCAATTTTTTGGGGTGCATTTTATGTTTGTGTTCCTGGTGCTTTATTTCTTTGCAAAATTACAATGACTATTTAGTTTACAAGAATGAAGGTGGGGAAAAGGATGAAAAAAATGATGTCTATGTTTAATTTATGAATTGCTTTTCGTATTCTCATCATTTGAAAATTTGAACAATGTTATAACGGTAATGTTTTGTCATTAAATTTCTGTCCGAAAGAGAAGCATGATCATTAACTTTGATAATATGTGCGTAGTCTTCTTGTGTTGACTTAACCGTTCATATTGAAACTTACCTCCAGAATAGAAGATCATGGCTTGTTTTGGCTTCTGCAAAGGAAATGATAGTATTGCAATTGCTGAAAGAGGATCTTACATGCAAAGCGCCCCCATTGGTAATCCATTATTTCCGGTTCTTTTCATTCTTCAAAATTTTCTGTTTTGTGATTCTATCTTACCTTAAATTTCATTCAAGTTATTGTCATGATTTAAAACGTAAGTCTCATGCCTTTTGTCTACATTCTGTACAAATTCTTATTCTTATACAAGAACAATTTGAACTTGCTGTCATTGACATTTCACATGTTTCTTAATTTATTTTTTGTGCCATTCTCAAGTGACCACCCTCTAAACTGAGATGTTATGAAAATGGCCTTTCCTAAGTCTGTAGTTTAAGTGATTGTATTAATTGTATATTTAAACTTTTATTAGCACTATGTTTCTTTTTTTTTTCATTTTGGTTCCATTTTTGTTCAGCTTTAACTTTGTTAATACAATGCAGGGAACCCCAGTCATCATGGCAGACACACACCAGTACCCACTCCCCGGCCTGTAACTTTTCAACCTATTGCTGTCCCTTCCATTACAGTAGATGAATTGAAGTCTTTGACAGATAATTTTGCTACGAAATATTTCATTGGTGAGGGTGCATATGGGAAAGTATATCATGCCACATTGAAAAATGGGCGTGCAGTGGTAATAAAAAAGTTAGACTCCAGCAATCAGCCAGAACAAGAATTTCTTTCTCAGGTTTGGTTCAATTGTAGTTGTAAATTTTTCTAACGATAAGATTGTGAAACATCCTCACATCACATTCTATGTTGCAACTGTGTTTTCATTCAGTACTTTTGGTTCCCAACTTATATAGGTCTCCATCGTATCAAGGCTAAAGCATGAAAACGTTGTTGAGCTTGTTAACTATTGTGTTGATGGTCCTTTCCGCGCCCTTTCCTATGAGTATGCTCCTAGAGGATCCCTTCATGATATTCTACATGGTTAGTCATAACTAGTACCGCATCGGTTGTCATTTTCTGCAAATGTATTCAAACTGTCATTAATGTAATTTTAAGATTAATGCTGCCTGATTTTATATAGAAACTTGTAACTGGTTTAGGAATTGTAATTTTGAAAACAATGTTTGTGATTGAAACTTACCTTTAACATTGAAGCTGCTTTACACACACACCATTAATCGCTTCATTGTGGATATAGGACGCAAAGGTGTGAAGGGTGCACAACCTGGTCCAGTTTTGTCATGGGCTCAGAGAGTTAAAATTGCTGTGGGAGCAGCCAAGGGACTTGAATATCTTCATGAAAAGGCAGAGATTCATATCATCCATCGCTACATTAAGTCTAGTAACATACTTCTTTTTGATGATGATGTTGCAAAGATTGCTGATTTTGATTTGTCAAATCAAGCCCCTGATGCAGCGGCACGTCTTCATTCTACTCGTGTTCTTGGGACCTTTGGTTATCATGCTCCAGAGTAAGTTTTTCCCAGAAGCCTAATTTACTTGTTTGACCTTGTTTTTCCTGTCCATTCTTGCTTTTTCACATACAGAAGACTGTTAAATTAAAGAGTTTCTGCTTAAGTTGAAAGATGGAAAAACTTGAACACAAGTTTATGAAAATTAATTATATCTGTGGACAGTGATTTGGCTCATTTTAAAGTTGTGGCTTTTTAGAACTTGTTGGGATTGATTTTATTTTTTTTCAATGACAGATATGCAATGACCGGACAACTCACTTCAAAAAGTGATGTTTATAGCTTTGGAGTTATACTGCTGGAACTCTTAACCGGGCGAAAACCCGTTGATCATACGCTGCCCCGAGGACAGCAAAGCCTTGTGACCTGGGTACCAATATTTACTTGTTTCTGTTCTGTTAATACTCATTCTTGTGTCTTCTTCCCCTTTAAGTTTTGGATTTTGCAAATTGTGATTTTTGTTCATTATCAGGCAACACCAAAGCTTAGTGAAGATAAGGTGAAGCAGTGTGTTGATGTTAGATTAAAGGGAGAGTACCCTTCAAAGTCAGTTGCAAAGGTAATATTCCAAAACATTTTGCTTGCAAACTTTTTATTCTATTCTTAATATATGCTATTTTGACTTTGAGAGAAATATTTTAAAATAATTTTCTTGTGATCCACTTGTTTAGATGGCTGCTGTTGCTGCATTGTGTGTGCAATATGAAGCTGAGTTTCGGCCAAATATGAGTATTATAGTAAAAGCTCTGCAGCCTCTCCATGCTCGTTCTGTTCACCCAAAGGATTCCCCCACCATGTAAATACCAATTCCAAAATCCATTCATTCCATTCCTTCTTTCAGAATGCAGACACAGTGTGTTGACGAATTGTCCTTCTGACAGCTGTCAGTAATTACATATTCCTAGGCATATTGTATTCAAGTGTCTTTTTTGCATTATTATTATAATATGTGTTCTCAACTAGGCATGATATAAAAATAGTCATGTACGTGGCAAGGGCCTATGATAGATAGATACTGGAATTTGCATGTTTGTTTTTCTACAAGCCATGTACAAGTGAATATATAAATTATATACACTTGTCATGGACCAACACATGATGTCTTGTTGCATTGCAATTTTAAAGTCAAGTTTCTTCTCAACGCATGGATAATCTAGAAGCATGCTTACGTATTTTATGTCATTAAGTTTTACCGTTGAATCTTGGAACCTTTTCTAAATTACGGTGTTCGATAACGCATCACCATGCGAATTTGAGATACGACAGTTTGTTAGTTTGAGTCTATTAGTTCAATTCTTTCTCTCGATCTAATTTGACAATACTTTGATATGTCTTTCCACTTAGGATTTATGGTTTTCATTTATACCCATGAAGTGAAATCTTTCTCAAGGTTAATCGAAGAGTACATCACAATTAATAATAAAAAAAGAGGGACTCAATCATAATGTTATTTTGAGAGATTGAAATTATGTAGTCGTTAAACCAACTTGTTCAATCAAATTAAGAATTGAAGATCTTGTTAATTTTGAAAATGAATTAAGGGTTCAAGATATAGAAGAAAAAAATTGAAAATCATAATATAGAAAATTAAGGACGAGTTCAAATCAAGATGAAAATTAAAACGAATTTTGTGTTTATATTACCTACCTGTTTTGGGGGGATTGCTTCCCTTTATTCCACACAAAAAGAAAAACGAAAAAACAGAAAACATTATCTGCCTATTTGATTAGGTGTCCAACACTTTAGACGTGCTTATAAATTATATTTTAAATTTATAACAAATAATTTATATTGTGATATAAAAGATATTTTTTTTGATAAAAAATATAAATTACAATTTAATTAAGATTTTTAAAAATATTTCCGTTTAAGATAATTATTATTACGTATAATTTATATATAGAAGGACGTATTCAAACACATTACATTTTCCTTGTTTTTAGAAACCCTTTAGAATTTGTATGTGGATTCTTATCCAAGAATGAAAGTGTGTTAGGGACCTTAAGCGATCTGTTATTCTAAAAATTAGTGCTTTAGATAACACAAATCTTGCTTTCATTTATTGCCATTATTTTGTTTGCCTCTTTTTTCTCTCTTTCATTATAGTAATCTCTATCTCTCTTGTTTGGGCTTATAGTTCTTCCCTTCATTATGGATTTTGATCCCATTGTCCAATAAGGGATTCTGTGTTAGTAGGCCTAGCTTCAATAGTCTATTAATTTATCTAAAACCGGGCACCTTTTTTTATTTATTATTATTATATAATTTTTTTTAATAACATTCTTGGCCCCAAAAACAGTGATAAGCTATACAAGATATGTGTCCACTCTTATTAAGAACTAGTGCTTAATTAATAAGAAGATTTGCTTCTAGCTAGCGTTAACAATGGAGATCGGAGATGCTCTTGTATCTCTCTTATTTACATACCTTTTAACTTGTTTTTAACCCACTAATGTGAGGCTTCTCCAACACCTTTCAATCAAAAAAATTAGAAAATAGTAAAATTTTAATCAACAGTGAATGTTATATATATGCATGTAATGAAGTGTATAGTATGTTTTAATTTTGATAATCCATGAAAGATATGTTCAAGTCGTGATGAATCATTATTGGACAACAGGATTTTTTTTGTCCATTTAAAATATATCAGCAACTAATGTTAGTCTTAACGAAAGAGATTCACATCCTTTAAAATATCTCAAAAGATTAGTTTTGAAAAGGCTATACAGTGTTTGGATCAGACGAATAATAAAAGACACATGTTCTATATTTCAAACAAACTTCACACGTAGTCAAAAACAGCCTCAACACCGACACCCTTCTATTTTATTTTTCTTCAATATGCATACAAGAAGACTCTAATTTTGTTCACACCCAAAGGTCCATACCTAACCCCACCACAAAAGTCAGGCATGAAAATTAATACTTTGTTTCACCTATTTCTAACAAAATCCACCTACTTATTTCACTAGTTTAGGTTTGATCCCTTTTTATGGTAAATAAAACAAATAATTTTATAGACACGTCTAATTAGTTAAAAGATTAAAACAACGTTAAATAATTTTAACATAGACTTTGTTGACTTTCTGATCTATTTTAATGCATTTAATTTCAACTTTAAATTGAATAGTTGATTGTACTTTTAATTATTCCTTTATTCGTAGTTGCTAGATAATTGAGTTACTTAATCATAATTTCTGAACTTGTATAAGTAGACTTTGTTGGGGGACGGAAAACTTACTTCCATAATTTCTACATTTCAAAGAAAATTAGAGTTGGATCATCGATTGAGAGATATTGTTAGTGAAAAAGAAATATTCCTATGCTAATAAAACAATTACTCATGAATCAAACGGTTAGCATAATTTAGCGTAAGTTATAATTGAACCTTAATCTAACCAAGCTAACATGTCCTATGACCAAATCATATATTCACATGTAGGTAAACAAACAAAACCAAACAAAAAAGCACCAAATCATAAATGTTAGAAGCAAATGGGTGAACCACTGCATTCAAAACAGGTCAATCTACTAAACTTTTTGTAGTCCCTTGTTATTATATAATGGTATATGTTATGCCTTTAATCAACATCACATTGATTGAACTGAACAACTAGAAGACATTGAATTGTTGAGATGGCTAGTGTGGTGAAGGAGCGTGAGGGGGCAGAGATAGTGTACGGTTCTGAAGAATGCTACCGCCACTCCATAGAGCTCTTGGAAGAGTTGGGTTTTCCAAAGGGTGTTCTTCCCTTGCAGGACCTTGTGGAGTGCGGCAGAGTTAGGGAAACAGGATTTGTGTGGATGAAGCAGAAGGCACCTTATGAGCATTTCTTTGAGGGGACCAACACAAGGGTCAGTTATGCTGTGGAGGTCACTGGCTATGTGGAGAAGTTTAGGATGAAGAAAATGAGTGGCATTAAGAGTAAGCAGATGCTGCTGTGGGTGCCAATCACTGAGATGAGCATTGAAGATCCTAAGGGGAAGAAGATTCTGTTTAAGACCCCTATGGGGATTGGAAAGTCTTTTCCTATCATGGCATTCATGACCCCTGAGGAAAAGGAAAAGCACTTGCTGTTGCAGGACAAGGAGACTCAAGAAAGCAGTCCATGAGCATGATTCATGAATTAGTATATGAACAAAACAGATAAAATACCACAATTACTAATGGTATTTTTCTCCGACCAGAATTAGAATTTTACTTCAGTAATGTGTTGATATTTAATAAAATTCTTTATTATATATATTACTGAGGTGATTCTAATTTTAATTGGAGATTAGTACTTATGGTATTACTTGAAAGTTTTATCTTTAATATATATATGTGACACTAATGAGGTCTTGATTATGAATAATGAGCAACTAGAGTAGTTACTACACGTGAACTAGTTGATTTCATGGTTACAATGTATCGGGCATGCAATAGCATACTTTGTTCTTTTGGTTGATTTGTAGATTGTGATGTTTACTGTTTTCAACTTTTCATGAATGTTATTTTGTTGTAGAAGAATTGAATGATATGTTAGGAAACATACATCAAGTTACTAAAACAATTGAGTGGTGTTGAATGCAGAATGGAAATATTTGAGTAGGTTGTTGTTGGGTCTTTTACTGTTGACACATTTATTAATGGAGTCTAAAAGGATATTCGCAACAAAATTATTTTCTATCTATCACAACTCAAGGTATATGTCTGCTACGTCTGCATATATACACGAAGGGGAAACAATCCAATTTATTCAAAACAGTGAGCCTGCACCATGTCAAGTTTAGTCGTTTATGTAAATCAAAATTTAGCAATAATACTTGTTAAACTATACAAATTTAAAGTTATTAGGACACTTGTTTGCTTGTTGAGAGCACTAGAAGGTGAGTTTGCTTGTTGAGAGCACTAGAAGGTGAAATCACTTTTTTTGTCCATGAAAATGATTTACATAGTATTTTAAAACTAATCACTAAAGACTAATCTATTCTTGTTTGGTATAACTTTCGTTGACCAATCATTATTTTAACATGAGTAAAAATCAAATTGAAAAAGGTGAAACCATTTAATTATATGTACATGAATGAAATTTTAATTATATAATTCTTATAGTGGATCTTTATCTCTTAATATTTAGAGACTTGGATTTCTAATGAAAGTCCTTGACACGATATTTTTTTAACCAAAGTCTAGAATTTGACCGTTTTTTCTATTATTATAAGAGCCACTACTATAGTCCATTGTTGCTACCCTACGACTATAATAGTTTACTGGTTGAAGCATGAATAAAATAGAATTTCTATTAGAAAGATGAGCGAGTGAAGCAAAATGAAAATTAATTTGTGTGGGTTAAAGCTTAAATTTTGATATAAATATTTGAAAATTAAAAACTAGATATACCTTATTCACCCATATTTTGAAGTTTATGTGAAATGATTAATAGTATGGTATCTGTGTGTCATCATCTTATGAAGATCTCAATTCAAGTCTCCGGTCCCATCCCATTTAGATTTAATTTTAACAAGACTCATTAAAATAAAAATTGATTTAAAAACTTGTTTAGGTCTAGAAAATTAACCAAGTCAAAATTCATAATTCAGTGACATTTTTTCTCGTGAAGAGTGAAGACTCCCAATTTTTACACACAAACACGAGGAGCCATAATTATTAAACATTATATTCCCAGGGTTTTGGTTACATTGAAAGTGGATGTCATAACAAATTAATTTGAAGAGTAATCAAGAAATTCATCACTGTAATTATAGACAATAACCACATCTTTTGTCTTTCACGCTTTGGTATTTTTTTCTTGTCATCTTACACAAGGAAACATCAATTCCTTCATGATCCTAACAAGTGGTGAAACAAATAAAATGACAAAGGGAATGTATGAATAGCAATGAGCTGTACACAATAGTGTAAAGGATCTTTTTAATCCCACATTAATACACAATAATAATCTACATCCTATCATCTACATCTATGCTATAACAACAAAATAGGTATACAAACCATCCCAAAGTATCTCGTTCCTGTTCCATGTCTTTGATGTCAACCGTGGCAGTTATCCAAACTCAAGCTCAAAACAATGCAAAAATTTCCCTTCAATGGTGTACCTTATCCTGGAATTCGTACCTTTAGCTTTCATATTCATGGCTCTACTTCCTTTGGTTCCTTCTGCCATTGGACTTAGAGTCTGGATTGTCACTCTTTTCTGTATCAGAAGTCTCCTTCTGGCTCTCCAGCTCCATATTCCCTGCCTGACTCTTTCGGCGTCTTCGATCCTGAAATGTCAACCACTTCATTTGAGAAACATATCATGTATGTTCAGAAAAATAGTTTAATGGTTGTTGCAAGGAACATGAAGTTTTATTGTTGAAACATAAAAGAACTAACACAAAGTTGGGATGTTCTTGTGATTTACTCCCCCCTCAAATTTATTGCAGTTTTAGCATTTAGATAATGTCCTAAAATGATTGATGCTTTCACTTTTCATCATCATAATTTTTTTTCTTAATTTTTTCCTTCATAAATAATTCAACTACCACAATTAAAGGTAATGCATTTATTAATAATAACGAGACTATTTTAGTAAAATTATGCTCTCAAAAAGTGATACATTTATTGTTGTTTTTAATTTGTATTTAGAAACTTTAAACTACAATCAACGTGGAACAGAAAGACTAGTAGATGAGATGAGATGATAAGAATTCAAACCTCTCGGGGTATGGGATATTCCTCTGATTCAAGCATGCGGACAACTTGACTCATCTTTGGTCTTTTCTCAGAATCTGGATCAACACACCTCAAAGCAGTCAAAAGTGCACGTTTAAGGGCACTTGTTGATGGCCTGGTCTCAATGTTAGGGTCCACCACCTCTTCTGCACGCCTATTCCCAACCATCATCTTGAGCCAGTCGACCAAATTTACCTGCAACAACCAGCCAACGATGTTAAGGAAAGTTTGGTAAGTCCTAAATATGGTAAGACATAATGTTATGAAAACAAATAAAGTTACCAACTACTCCATGGTAATTTCCAATGCATATCATTCTTCACATTTTAAATTCATGTGAAGATATATATTGGTGAAAAGAAAAGTTCCTTAACTCTTATAAATAAATATATGTAAGTAGATGAACATTAGAGTCATGATTTATTTACAGGTTACTAGTGACACACCTCAGCTGCAGGTCGGCTATAATCCACTGGGTCTCTTCCGGTAATTGCTTCAAGGAGCAATACTCCAAAGCTATAAACATCACTTTTCTCGTTTAGTAATCCAGAGTTTGCATATTCTGGAGCCACATATCTGACATAGGCAATTGAAGCATGAAAAAGAAGAATTTAGTTAGCCAACTAGAGCAATGCTACAGTAGAATTGATATTTAGAATTGACAATTGATCATAAATATTAAGGTAAAATGAAATGCCAAATATTCCATTTGATCTGGTCAGTTCAGTGTGCATGATTAGATTACTGAGGATAGTTAACCTAAAAGATTAACAATATAATTTCTCAATTTGCAAATTATATTTATAAAAAAAAAAAAGTGTAAAACAGCATTAGTCATAGTGCCTAACAAAATGAGAAATAACAAGAAAAAACTACTTTTGAATCATAAAACAAACACGTCCATGATATTTAGACATTCGACAAATAGCTTACCCGAAAGTACCCATTACTCGAGTTGTGATGTGACTTTTTCCAGCACCTAGTAACTTAGCCAGACCAAAGTCAGATATTTTGGCATTGAAGTCATCATCAATTAGAATATTGCTCGACTTAATATCTCTATGTACAACTTTTGGCTCAATTGCCTCATGCAAGTAAGCCAGCCTGCAATGGAATCATTAATCAGTAAAAGTAAACTCAACAAAAAATAAGAAGGAAAGTACAAAAAAGGAAAATTAAGACAAGCATACGCTTTAGCTGTTCCAAGAAGAATTTTAATCCGAGCATCCCAAGTAAGAAAACCATACTGCCGCATAGCTCCATGAAGCCATTGCTCTAAATTTCCATTGTTAACATACTCGTAAACCAACAACCTGAAATTAACAGGGAATTCACAAGACATCAAGAATCCAAATTAGACGGTACCTGGATAAATGGTATGAAAATGCAAGTAAGGGGATTTGCTAACATACAATCGTTTTTTAGAAGAAATATTTTAGTAAGCTACACTTTGAATGCATTTTAAGAATATTGAGATTATAACTTGTTAAAATACTCATTCTAAAAACTAAGTGGGGGTATGTTAGCAAATTCTTATGGGCTTTACTAATGTACACCCATTTTTTAGGAGTATTTTAGCAAGTTATACTTTGGGTGCATTTTAAGAAAATGAAATTTATGACTTGCTAAAAAACATTCCTTTTGAAAACCAAAGAGGTGTATGTTAGCAGATTCCTATAATAAAACCATGGAGACCACTTATAAATAAATTATTTGCCAAGAAAATTCTATTTATTTGTTGCAGTTAATGGAATGACAAGATAATACAAAAGTTATTTTGGAAGTTTGTAAACTATTTAAATCAAACGGTAAATTCAAGATGAAAGCAGACACAAACAGTCAAACACATAAGTGTGCACAGTTGGTGACAATTCATCTTTTCCCCTTCACTGATTCCAAAAATAAATAGAATGAAAGCAAAAGTGGAAATCTGGATGTTTAACCCAAATAAAATGACAAAACAACATGCTACCTGTGAGTGCCTTCAATGCAATAGCCCAAAAGTCTAACCAAGTTCTTGTGCCGCACATGACCAATAGCCTCAACTTCCACTCTAAATTCCTTTTCAGCTTGTCCTCTGCATGATAGGCATCAACAATATTAGATGCTAATAAAACAAGAAACAAGGATTTAAAGACCTAGTTTTAAGCTAAAATTAACAAATAAAATCTGCATCGCAACAAAATAATTTAATGTCAAAACTTACAGATTATTGAGTAGCTTCTTAACAGCCACAGGACTCCCATTGATTAGCTGGCCTTGATAAACAACTCCATATCCACCTTCACCAATAACATTGCTTTTTGAAAACCTGTTTGTTGCAAGTTCTAGGTCCCTTAATGTAAACCAGTGTCCCCAACCAAGGTGAGAGAATTCAGGTAGACCAGACAAGGGGGATGGCGCAGTTATAGGATGCGAAGAAGACCTGTAAGTGGAAACAGACTTAGCACCACTTTCTTCACCTGATTGAGAGCCATCATCTTTCTTAAGATGAACAAATGAGCCTGATTGACTGCTATTTTCCCCATTCTTTGCATGGATCAAAACCTTTTCAGAGTCCTTATCGCTAAACCTGTCATACAAACTCATAAAAGCTCCATTCTGAGGATGATTATTGGATGAGACCTGATCAACTCTAATTTCCTTGATCTCTTCGGAAACAGATAACATATGGCTGAGGGGAAGCATGCCATTGACTCTTCTAGATTTCTTTCTTGAAGTAAGACATATTGATATCACCACAAGAATGATTATAATGAACAACCCAACTATTATCCCCATTAATTCCCATGCTTTCAACCCAAAAACAGACGTTTGTTTGGACAACCCCGAACTTAGATCAGACGCCATTTGTAGCTGCCAATATATATGTCAGAAGTCAATGTTAGATATAAGAAATCACTTCAATGCACACAGCAAATCATGTCGCAAAATAAAGCACATTATTGGCAAATTACAGGGATAACACCAGACTCTTGCATTGGATTTCTGACAACATTTATATCAGAAAGAAAATCACAAATCCAGTCATACGAAATTCCAGCAAGAAACTAAATTGTTTGATATCCTTCTCAAGTATAAAAACAAATAAAAAAGGCCATTCATTTGCTGAAAGAAACTCAGTTCCCCAGTAAAAGTGCAAAATGAAAGAAAACTAAATTGCATACGAAATATGATAAAGTCGGCATTCATATCCGGGACAAGTCAAGCAATCATGAGCCGCAGCTGTGATAGAAAATTGCAACAAGTTGACTCGAGTGTTTGGAAAACGCAAATCGTAAGAAACCAAAAGAACATAAAAATGAACAAAATTAGAGAGAGACTAATACCTCATTCAACCCTTAGAGGAAAAATGAGGCCAATAAAATTTCAAATTAGCTAACTAAAAATCAACCAAGCAAAAAACCAATGACCACAAAAAGAAGCATCACCTGTGACAATCCAGCAACTTGGCAGAGATTTAAAGAGAGAAACTGCTGACAACCTAAATCCTTCTCAGAGTTTTCTGCAGCCTCTTTTGAGACCCTGAATCCACTTAAACACTAGATCTCTTATGCACTCAGAATTCTCTTGGATGTGAACCCACTGGCACATGCCCAGCAAAACCCCATTGTCAAAATATGATTTTGGTTTGTGGGATTCCTCAAATGTGCCAATGGGTCTGTTATTTCGATATAAAAAATGGAGCTTTTCAGAGCATAAGCATTCCCCTCCTGAAAACCACTTGATGAAATGAAAAAGGCACCGACCCAGTTGTTGGAGGGAATTGGAGAAGAGAGGAGGGACATGAAATTGTGAGAAGAGGGAAATGGGGTTATTAACAAGGCATGGAATTATCAGTGGTAGGTGATAGGGAAGTGACATGGACTCACATTGCCATGTGGTAAAAAATAAGCATCAAAGTGGAAACTTTCTTTGCTGTTTCTTCAAATTTCTTCCCTCTCTCTCTCCCTTTCCCTTTCTATTTCCTCTCCTTAATTTATTTTTTATTGGTTTTATTATTCCTAAGGTTTCTTCAGACGGTGACAGATAAACAGATGCTTCAAGGGTTGTATTTGACATCCAGAACACAAGATTGGAAAACCAATAAATAGGTTAATTTATTTTTAATACTCTCTCCATGCATATTATTAATACAATTTTAACCGATTTATAATTTTTTAATTTTATCTTTTTTATTTATTATAGAATTTTTACAAAAATGTGAAAATATTATTTTATATAAAAAAAATCATCAATATTAATAAAAATGATAAATAATCATTAAAGAGTTAAAATTAGAAAGAGCACATATTTCTACTATCTTTCATAAAGATAATAAAAAGATAAAATTAATATTTCATAAGAAATTATAAATTATTTCATTAAAAGGAAAAAAATTGTTATTTTAATAACTGGACAGAGTTTTTTTTTTTTTTTTTTATTTTGCAAGTCAAACGTCAACTTTTAAAAGAGAAGTTTTACCTGTATGACAAAGTAAAAAAGAAAAAAAAAAAAAAAAGAGTGAAATGTAATGAAAAAAACGGTGATAAAGATGAATATATAAAAAAATAATATCATATAAATTCTTCTATGAGTAAGACATATCATGTTAAAATATTCATGGCTTCTCGTTACATTGAAGATTCTTTTAATTAATTTATGGAAGTTAAGAATATAGTAATAACAATTTGTATAATTTTCTGAAATCATTTTCAAGTTATTGAAAAAACTCGTGATTTTTCTCCACTCTTATCTTATTAGTTAATGTATAATTAGTTATTTTAACTAATCATCACAAAAGAGAGAAAATAATTTTATCTTGTTAATTTACAACATTTTTTGTCTACTGAGAAGGTATTTTTATTAAAAATGATTAATACAACACATAACTTAAAATAAAAATCATAAAAAGAGATAAATAAATTTATTTGAATAATTAACATATTATTACATTAAGCAACTCATGAGTGTGTTCTGGAAGAAATACTGAGTGAAGATTTGTAAAAAATAAAAATTTGAAAAGGTCAAATGAACAGACTGCACACCGAATAAGGGTAAACTAATTGAAAATTTCTATATACTTGAATTGCGTAAAATTGATTTAAATGTCTATATTTAATGAGACTTTGTTATCTCATTCATTCAGTAGGCTGGATAGTCAAGGAAACAGACTGGACACCATACCAATTTTTCTTATACCCATAATACCCCTATTCCACTAGACCTAAGTCTTTATATTATGTACACATTCTATTCTCCTTCTCAATCACATTTCTATTCAACCTTCTCCTTCTTCTAAAGAGTAAGGTAAAAAAGAAAATTAAATCCTCACAGTCACAGGTGACAATTTTTTTCAGTAAAATCTTAATCTTTTAACCTTAAACTTAAAAATTATGGTCAAGTTGGAAAAATCTCATACTAATTGATTTACATGTTGAATAATATATTTAACCTTTTTTAGGTCATAATAATTTGTTCTGGATTGCTTATTGAGAGAGAGAAAAAATGATGTAATGTGATGAGAAATATATGAATGAGTTGAGTAAAAGGGAAATGTATAGTAGCATGCACATTGGAAGTCAAATAGATGGGTGTCTTCCTTTGGACAATTTTTACCCATAAGGCTATACACTCCATACTGTATGGAGCAATGATTGGTTTGGATGGCCTAAGCTTGCATACCAATGGCACACACAAGCCATTTTCAGTAATATATATTTAAGTGTGGTCCCATTCTTATTTTTTTAGAAAATTTTTCTGGTTGGGGTTAAGTGCTTTTGGAAACATGCTGACACAGCTAAATGAATTGTTTCAAATGCCTAGGGGGTGCATAGTGCATTGTTTCACATTTTAGTTAAATGTAATTCTTTTATGGATTAGTGATTACTCCATTCTATTTACACATAATGGCTTAGTATCATGCTCTATTACATTATAAATAGTAAGTTGTGGGATATTGCACAAATATTTTTAAGTTTAAATAGAGATTATAAGTAAAATCAATTAAATATAATGAACATTTTAGTATCTTAAATGAAAACAAGTTAAAGAGATAAGACTTAAAAATTGAGAAAAAAAATTTATAGAAAATAATTGCTATAATTAAAACATTATTTTTATCAAAATTTAAAAGTTAAATTCAGATTAAGATTTTAAAAGTAAAAAATTTGAAATTTAATGTATTAAACAAGAAAAATATCTTCAATTTGGTAAAATGTATTATAATTTAAAATTTAACTAAAAAAATAAGTTATGCAATTTTAAAGGAAAACAAATTCTAAATAAAAAATAAATAAAAATCAATATTCAAATGCAAGAAAAATTACATATATAAATTGGTAAGGATATAAATAACTTCCAACAATACTCTTATTTAAAAATAAGGACTCAGATTTCACGGTTAAGAAAGTATTAATGTAAAAATATTAAGGAACTCATTTCATTTAACTGCTTGTTATAATATTTGTTAGTCTGCATGTCATTCATGAGAGTTTATAATAGCATGTTCTTTTCTTTATTTCATTTCACATTGTGAATCATATTCTACCAACATATGATCGAGTAAAATTTTACAAATTTCAATTAAATTATTTATCTAAAAGAGGCATGTGCTTTTGACATTGTTGTTTAATTAGCAAGAGATATGACTTGCACACCATAATTAATTATTATATGTTCCTTGCTGAACAGATTTTGCAGTCAATGCCACTTTTGAAAACTAATTATTGTGTTTTTTGTCCAATAATTTTGTTCTAAGTTTGATTTATTCTTGATTAATCATGTGGTGCTTCTTTTAGTCAATTTAAATGGGCCCAGTTAAAAGAAAAATTAGGGGAAACAAAGTACTGGGTGATAAATATGTACCCTGTTAAAGCATAACTTTAATTTTATTTTATAAAGTTAATTAAAGTGAGAGATTAGCTATACTTAAGTATGGATCTGGTATAAGCGTAACCAGGAAGATTTCCAACATGATTAAGAAAAGGTTGAAAATGGTTCATCATTGGTGCACTTTTTTTTCTATTATATTTTCCACTAATATAATTAATATTCTGTTTAATTATTACATGAAACAGAATCTTATGTTACAGTAAATTATACTTTAAATACACGCTACAAACAAACGAGTGTCTTTTTTTTTTTTTTTTTTATAGTTATTTAAGTGTGTTTTTTCCTCCCTTTTTGGAGGGTTTTATGTTATTTTTTCTTTGGTTTTCTATATAACAAAGGTTAGAAAGCATAACATGTGAAACATTTTCAAGTTATTTATTCATATGAAAAACATTTATTCTTTGGCATTTTTTTTAGTGGAACTTCTTTAGTAGTTGATAAAAAATAAAGCAAGGATTTTCTTTGACCAGACATATTCCAAAAGCAAGTGAGTTAGACAAAGGGTGGTTTTATTAATTAAGAATATTGTAGCATATGGTTGCATATAATTGCATTTGCATTTTCTAATAGTCATAAACATTACTTAATTGGGTTTGTGTTACTTGGATGCACGCAATATTATTGACAGCTTGTACTCAGGTTTTGGATCCTTGCAATTATACAACTCAAAACAATTCATCCGCTGCACAATATATTATTTTAAATTTATTTGGATACAAGTTAAAAATATATTTTTTTTAATAAATAAATAATTATTTTCAGTAAAAAAAATTTAAAAATACTTCTAAACTTATATTTAAATAGAATCTTTGTAAATTCAATCTCTGAAAAGTTATTTGTGTATACCTAATTCTCTTTTAATTTCAAATTTTATGTATAAAATTTCTTGTTGTAAGAAAAAGAAATTCTATACATTTCTGTGCTGTAATGTTCTTGATGAACCCAAACATGACTCTCTTTTTATAGTCCAGTGAAAAAATTGAAAAAGAATATTTTAACTTAACTATTAGTGTTTTGAACCGACTCTATGGTGAGAAATAATTAACTACTTTTTTATGGTGAAGATAAAATAATAAATATTTTTTTATAATATCACAAGACAAAATATTGATTTTTGATATTATATACAAACACATTAGTATATATCAATTATCTATTTAATCGGATGAGTGGCATAGTGCATATAGGTCATTCTCACGTTTTAATACACAATTAATGGAAATGGTTCTCACAAAACTTTAGAATTGAATGGGGAGAAATTATAATACAAGCACGTATATAATGGTCAGCATCATACACTTACATGTTGTATGGATAATTTAAATTGTTATTCATATCTAAATTACAACACATAACAAATATTTTAAAATCCAACACAATGAATCAACTACAAAATGTTATATATGTGCTTCAATACTTATAACAACAGAGTGATGAAAATAAATTCAAATCCAACAAATCAAAACTCATAAAAGTAACTAATTTATAAACTTGTTAGTTTGGTATCATCACTCTCTAAGACATATCAAAACAAAATATAAAAATTAAATATTTATATATAGTGATTTATCAAGTTGAAATAACATAAATAACATTTTATTATATAGCTATTTGAACATTATATTTTTTTACATATAATAATTTGCGTAATATTATTCAAATAATGCAATAATTTGTGCATAGTAAATTGTGTGGCATAAGTTTCTATTTAAAAATTATTACTATAAATTAAATAACATGCAATATTGGAACAAAATTTGATAGTCGCAAGAAACTCATACCTGTATTCAATTCCATAAATTTCTACCAATAAATATTTGTACTTGAATTCAAACTCAATATTCTATTCACTCTCGTTATATCGGATCAAGATCCAAATGTCATCTCCAAGTGTTTTATGTAGTATTTCTTAATAAAAAATGAGATACAGAGATAAACGTGTGACCAATATATTTATGGAATGTTGTATTTTAGGATGTGAAAAATTAGAGCATATTTTTATTATTTGGAACTTGGAAGAACAAAGGATATCTGTGTTTGTTTTAGTTATATGTTATACTACACACAATGAATACGAATCCTTTATCTATTTTGGTACTAAGAAAAACAAAAGAAAACTGATCCTTGATCCATAAACACACTCAAGAATGTTCCAATTCGCAGTATATTATGATGCATGTCACCCGAAATAACTATGGATTATAGATGTTAAATCAAACGTGTGTTGAATTCAAATTTTCAAATTAAAAAATATTCCAATTTATTTGATATTCTGAAGCAGAAAATTAGGCTTTCTTGCCTTTTGTATATGTGATTACATATTGGGTAAATCAGGCATGGAGACATTGTGGCAGCATATAATGTAAACAAATGCAAAGGCTCTTCTGCTGCGGACAAATGCAATATCCATTAGATTTTTACAATAAAGTAAAATCAGAGTCAACCTCTCAAGGACATTTGCTTTCTATGGTTAGATAGATTTTGTCAGAAGTTAGATACATACATCAGGAACAACTCAACTTTGTACTTTCATACACAGATAAATAGATAATGTGAAATTAATATGCCCGATTCATTCACTTGACCTCATTCATTTTTACACAAGGACCAAAAACCAAACAAAAGTGAAATACCCCTTTTCGGCCATTAAGCAAATTCCATTTTAAAATTAGATTCTTGCCTTGTCTTGATCCTCTTTTAAGGGTCCTCCATGTCCTAAACTTATATTGCATAATCTTTATTGGGACCCAAAACCTAAAGCTAATCATGCTTCCTATACATACACATATATATATATATAGTTAACAATGTTCCAAAGCCAACATTACACGTGCTTGACAATAAAAACAAATGGGCAAGTCTCCCGTGTTAGATTATACTTTCTCATAGGCCTTTCATTAACCAAATTCAGCCCAACAAAACTCAAGAAATAGACTAAAATATTAAATAAAAAAAACAAGATTTGAGAATAAATAGTAAATGAATTAAATTTTTTATTAATTTAGGATATTTTTAGAAATAAGTAAAAAAAATTAAAATATATTTATTAATCTTAAAAAATTATTTTTTCTTAATTTTGATGAATTAATTATTTAGTTATTATAACAAGGACTAGTAAGAAGAAGAAATGGTTGTGTACCGTTCAACCAACAATGTGACAACAATTAGACAATTTTTATATTAATATAAATTACTTAAAAATTATAGATTTCTTATCAGTTGGTTTACATTAATTATAAAGAATAAGCTCGAAGAGCAATGATAAATGAATTACATGGTCTACATAGATTTGATTTGGAAAAAAAAAGTAGGCATGATGAATGATTTGTGCTAATGAATCAACAAACAAGAATCTTTAGTGTGTTTTTATTTTATCTCATTCTTAGACAACTAAATGGAGAAGTATGTGAGAGGAAACTTCTAAATGAACGTACTTTTTTTCTCTCAGAAAACCAAACACACTATTAGTGAGGCAAAGGGAAGCTTTCTGAGGAACAGATGAGTTGGTGTGCCCTGATCTCTATCGAACTGATCATGTGAACCATTAGGCTGGAATTTGTGGCTGGTGGCATATCAAAGTTAGGATGTGGCCGTGCCGTTTGAGACATGTCCACACATGATAGTGTGAGCACACACGCAACATTCTGCATTCTGGTTTGGTGATGCTGTTGCTTTTGGATTATGGTGCCAGTAGTTGAAACTGCTTTGTCCCTTCATCTCATGCTTATAATATAGTTAGCTTAGCTGCTATTGTCACAACACTTCCATTCATCCGTCCATTTTATATGTAATCGTAATCATACTTTATAAATATTTGTGTCACTGCTAGCTACAATTATGAGACCCTAAACAGTTCACAGGTACTTTTTAATAATTATATATCTACGGGTTGCCTTTGGTTCAGGTTTATATATGAATCCAATAGCAATATTTATACACATAATAGCTTAATGTGTCTTTTTTTATAAACATTTTGTGCCAAGGATGGCTAGTATTTATCATGAATGATGATAGTGACTAAAATCTTCTCCTACCTAAAATTGGGCATTTGCGGATTGGAAGTATCTTGGAAGTTGAGTAAACATGCTAATCGTGGAATTGAATTGGTAAAGCCTATTTGTTTCTTTGTTTCTTCCATTCCTGAATAAGCTTCAAACTTCATTTAAAAAAATAAGTCATGTTCGTGACATAAGTTTTTCAACTGTCAAATATGAATTAAAGTAAACTGCATTTTGGTCTCTAGTAATTTGTTAATGGCAATTCGTTCTCTGAAAAATAAATGCCATTAGTTTAATAAACATGGAGAGTGACATCAATTTGGTCTTTTAAAAAAGTCACGATTAGTTTATTTGCTTGATAATAAAAGAATAATATCACTTTGATCTCCAAGTTGTAAATGTTAATTTAGTTCATCGATGATGAGAAATGACATCAATTTAACTTGTCAGCCCCTGTGATTTTGATGTCACTTTTCAACGATTGAAGGATTAAATTAATATCACTTGTTTTTAAGACTAAAGAGACCGTGTCAACCCTTTCAGAAAATAAAATAGATATATGCTTACTCTCAAATATATTAAACAAAAAGGAGTAGTGGTTGGAGTATCAACACGAAGAAATAACACTAAGAATTATAAACGAATTCTTGGATATGTTCGATTTGTATTATGAAATTCTGAAATTTTAATTATGCAGAATGAATGTATCCTAGAAGTTCAATGATCATGCCAGATTTTCTTTAAACTGGGTTAGTTGTTTCTAAGCTTTGAAATATGAAAAATAAGCGTGGCTTAAGTTCTTGGCCACCGTTTACTCAAAAAAAAAAAGAAGAAAAAAAAAGAGTTCTTCGCCACCTACTATGTATCATAATCTATAGTTTTCTGTTTATCGGAAGTTTCATTAGTTACTTACAAAATAAAAATGGGCCGAATCAATCAATTCAGATAAAAAAAACCACTCCAGATAAAAGAAAAGAAAAAAAAAATAGCAAGTCCAATACCCAATATCAGAGTAAATTTTGATCATATTATTGAGCTGATCAGGTATCAACCTGGATAACAATTGGAAATCCTTTTATCTATAATATGATATAAAATGATACTTTTTTTTAATAACTTTTGGTTTCAACTTTTTTTTAGATAGCTTTTTTTTAGATATTTATATTTTTATATTATGTTTTAATTTTTTTTCACTAACATGTATCTCTTAAAGATAAAATAAATAAACAAATATATATATAATAATTATCTATTTTATATATTTATTTATTTATAATATAAAATTCAAATTATGAACTATTACGTTGACATGCAAGTTATCGTAAAATTAATATCACATACAAGTTGTCTTATCAACATTTTTATTTATGTGTCAATATTTCTCCATCTCTTCACAATTTTCATCTAATTGTCAGTAATTAATGTCTAAGTTTATTGTTGATATAGCTAGCCAAAAAAGTCATATTGTTAAGTTTGGTTTAATATGGTCAAACTACTTAGTTTGTTCAGTTGTGTTATAAAAGATCTATTAGTTAAACTACATGACAACAAATGGTGTTGTTATGTTGCATTGTTGTGATGTTGAGCATTGATAAATTGTGTTGTTCATATATTAAGTTTTGAATGATAAGTTATAAATCCAAGTTGTATGTTAATATGTGCCGCTATATAAGACATTTGGACATAGTTATGTTGAGATGACAATTTTGTGTTGTTTAGTTGTGAGTTGTTGTGTTGTTCATGATTGTTATAGTGTTGGTGTGATGAAGTTGTTGTATCTTATTTATATATTTTGTATTGCTTTATTATGTATAAGTATATCCTTACATTTTTTCTTGGTGTTAGACTGTGATGATTATATTATTATGAGAGCATGATAGAATTAGGCCGAAGGATGAATTAAATGTCTTGACTATCATGTTGGAGATGATGGTGTTGTGTTAGTGGTTATTTTAACACAACTTGTATAATAAATGTTTGACCGATAATTTTAGATTTATATTTACATTTTTTTTATCACTAGATATATGTGTATACAAGATCATCTTGTAGTCTCAGTAACGGACTTTTATGTTTTAAGTTGATTTTTTTTCTCCCTCTCTATATATTGTTGCATATATATTTAAAAATTTATTTACACGAAAATTTTATGTAATTAGATTTATATTTTTCGCTGCTTAATTGATGAACAAATTACTAAGATTAAGAAAAATAACTAATATGATTACTTTTAATTAATTTTTTCACAAGTTTAAACTTTATTTTAAATATAATAGTTATTTTAAGTAATTATTATACTTAATGATAGTTAAAAATAAACACAAAAGAAATAGAGTTAATAATAATTAAAATATGTAAAATAAATCTAAGTATTAAATAATTTTAAAATTTAATAATGATTACTTATAATTAATATGAAAGAAAAAAATAATTTAGTGGTATAATTAGGATAGAAGCAGTAAAATTCAGAGGTTGGGCAGAGAAAGAGGGAGAAGTGGGGTAGTGTACTGTACTGTTTTGTGCAGGCGGCAATGTGTGTACGTATGCTGCAGAGGTGCTGTGTATGTGTAATTGTGTATCCCTCTCCCACACGTACGCACATCCTCCCTCCCACACGCTTTTTCTTCTCTTCACGCGCTTTCTTTTCGATTTGAACCCCACGCTGGATCTCGTGTTCTTTGCTTCGCGCCATAGATCCCCACAATTTTTTTTCTGCACGTGCCTTCTTCAATCCATGCCACAACCCCAAAGATATCAACTTTACTCCATTTCACGAGATGGGTATTTCACCTCTTCCCACTTCTGCTTCAGAACCTTCTTTCTCTGCTCACAAAACCATGATTAACACAACTCATTTCCTCACTTACTTCTATTTGTTCATCTACATTTTGCTTTCTTCTGGAGTCATTTTGTACAACAAGGTATATATCCACTTCATTTTTTGGGTTAAACTAGTTTTTAGTTTACTTTTAGTTAAAGCATTACTAATATAGTATCTTTTTTTTTTTTTTTTTTTTTTTTT